TAACATTGTAGAAATTTTGATGTCGCTGTATGTTTTTTAAAATATTTATAATCTTTAATTCAAAGATATTTTATTTTATTACTCAAAGATATATTTTTCATTAACTAAACAGAGCAATTATTTTCTAGATAAATGTGGAAGTTGGCTTGTAAGTATAAAAACATCCATTTCTATTCTATAGTTTGCTAGAAGTAGAAATCTCGTATGTGTTATTGTTTTTGGTGGATTAATGCGTATCTAATTTATTATGTTTATCTAATAGGCTAAGATATATTTTCCGATTCGTCTCTTTTTTTGGTCTTCTAATCAACTTCTTACCGGTTTGTAATTTTTCCTCAGAGCTTGTGTGAGATTCCAAGAGCCGTTGCTCATGCCGCATCATCAATAGCCTGAAGCTGAGGTAGTCTATCAAGGCATCTAGGCCTTGATTTTCCTCGTCCAAGAACTCTCTTACCCATCTATAACACTATTCAGCTCAGAATACAGCCTTTCGAAAGGATGAGAGCACGAATGAACGAACTCTAATCGTATTAGTACAATTATCTATCAATTATCATGATTAATGGTTGAGATGATTGGCTGATTATATAATTATATAACATAAAATAGAAAGTGGACGTATTACAATTTCAATTTTCTTCTTCTTTCTCAATTTAAATGTTAAAAGTTTACAAACGTTTTCAAAAATTTAGTTAGTGTTTATAATACATTTGTCTGACACTATTCGTCCAAAAAACACGTCTAAAGGAAAAGTAAAAGATCCTGTTTCAATTAACAAAGATGATTAGTAGATAAATTTTAAAGACTTTTGGCAAAATAGCAGATGAATGATGAATAATTATTATGACGATTGAACGATTATTAGAGTCGCTTACTCAATGTGATTTGTGCGCAAAGATATTTCCAAATCTCGTAATACTTGGGTCGATGTAGATTCTCCAACCATTTTTCTTTTCTGGAAGAATGTAAGAAAACGATACGACTGTGTAATCATTAGTATCAGTTTGACTGAGAACCTTTTGCGAGCGAGAAAAGATGTAGTATAATATAATAATCTTCGAAAAAAAATAAAGAAAAAGATGCGCGTTTATCCGTATTATCTGATTCTCCTCACATGCTATACTGAAATATCAGAATCTCTAGATAAGCCACATTTAATATGTAGTAGATATAATTTGTGTGTGTGTTAAAAATAAACTATTTATATCTCATATTTTCGTTGTATATTTCATGTTAAATGTGGTCAACTGATCTGCACATTCTGATATTTCACATATATGTCAACAAGATATGTAATTAAAGCACTAAAGATGCAGTTATAATACGGATATATTTTTAAAGTGTTTCTTTTTCGTCGAAAAATTAATTATATCGACATATATTGGAGAGTCGTCACGTACTGTTACAGCTCAATATTTTTAACTCAAATGAGATATCGAGAAATTGATACTTTTATGTTTGCAAGAAGCATGTAAGAGAATCGATTTAAATATGTAAGAAGAAACATATGGTTCCACATTTAAAGAACAAAAATAATCTAGATTTTAAGATAATCTAGATCTCTAAGAAGCCACGTCATCTAAAAAAATGTCGATGTCGCAAGCAATGTATCACTTGTAATCAAAAAAGTATTAATAAACAGTTCTCGATATTTCATCTCAATTAAGAAATATTGACTAGTAACAATTAAGTGACATCAAAATATATTGCGATATATTTGAGGGAAAAAATATTAAAAAAAAACTGAAAAAATAAAAAACAACGTACTCGATGGCTTCGTGATGCTTTGGGGTCCAGATAGGTGCGTAACTTTGCCAAATAATGGGACGGTGGATCCTTAGCTTGTACTCTTTCCTGTAAATATTTCAAATGTTTGAATATAATAAATTTTTCGATTTTTTGTATAAGCAAATTAACTTTGCTTTATTTTTGTTTTAATTGCGGCTAATCAAATGTCAAGAGAAACTCGGCAATATTTCTTCGAAGAATTGAGATTCATTCGCGAAATCGACTTCGTCGCATGTTAATTAATGAATACGAATTATTGTTTCGGAGCTTTTCGAGAATTAGTTTGTAGTCTGCGGCGGCCTTAGCAGTTACATTTAGAGAAGGGAACGCCGCGAATACATGCGTGTGCATCACGAGAAGGGATGCTGCATATTTTTTGCGGGTCGTATCGTATAATAAGCACGGCTTGCATTACATCCGTCTCGTGTTACACATGTGCCCTACAGGCCGGTTCAAACACATTTAGACGAACCATCCATACCCGCGAACTATTCCTTGAGAAGATGCGGCGTTCGTACATTTTCTTAAGATATTCATCTTGTATGTATTTTGTTAAGTAATAAGAGATCACAATGTATCACAAGAATCATTCGTTGCAATCAAAATAAATTTTGATTAAAGCGGATGTGCAGAATTTTGTTATTTCAATACTAACAGCAACACTCTGGTAATAATATAGAAGAAGCTATAATAAGTAAGTGACACTCTCTCTTCTCTGTGCTTTAGCCTACCCACGTTAAATGTTTCTAATATGCATTAAAATTAAAGAATAAATTTCTAAAACTTATATTAGAAAAAAGTAAATATAATAGTATTTTTTTGGTGTTATAAAAATAATTTAAAGTAATCTAGTTTATATATATATATATATTGTAAGTTTTAAAAATTACTGAATGTATTTCCTTCGTGTAAGCCTTAAACCGTATCCAGACTTGTGTCATATCACTGTATCATATGATCGCCTCTTATCATATACGGATACGGATATACTGGTTATGATGATATGTCAAGGTCTTGTTTTCAACACATATCCGTATCCTGCATCTGTATTTTTTTTTTGTTTTCCATCTAATACGTCCGTATCTTTAGCTCCTGCCTCCACGTTGCCTGCTGTGGAGACAATGTCTTTCTTTGTACAATTAGCTACTGCTAGCTACATTTTTCTTCATTATTCATTGAAGAAGAAAATGAAAATCACCATGAAATGAAATCATGGCAGTGGCAGATAAAAACAGTTTTTGCGAAGTGTATAGTGGCTCAAGTTTATTACACGACTTAAAGTTTCAATCTGTTAGTGGACAGTACAAAAACTTCACAAAGATGTCGTTCGCTGAATTTTACCTGATAAATTTGGTGGGAAAGCAGATTTTCAAAAAAGACACCATATATAGGAAAGCCTGCAAAAAAAGGTTAGCCATAACTTTTCGCTTTTTGGCAACTGGCGATTCTTATGCAAGCTACAGTACCTGTTTAAAGTCTTCAAACAATCAGTGAAATCGTCCCCGAAGTTTGTTCTGCTCTTGTTGATAAACTTAAGCATTACATTCAGGTATGTAATTAAAATATAGTGAAATATTTTTAATACTTTATTTTACATTTTTTTAATAACTACAGTACGAAAAGTTTAAGATACAGACTCGAACAAAAATTAATTTGTTGAAAATTATGTAATTAAATGTGAAAACATTGACTCAATAAATTTTTCGAAATTGTTAATGAAGTTCATACTCAAAATGTTCAATTTTCAAAAATATAAAATAGATAAGCATGTATTTATAGCAGCTCGGTAATGTTAAAGCTGTCTTCTGATGACATGGCACTGGCTGGAGAAAAAATGCTAAAAGCATTTACAGGCTCAAAGGGTAGTAGCATAAGGACTACATTGAGAAGACAGATGACTTGTCTCAGGTGCAGAATTATTTGTCTGGTGTGTGGCTGGCATTTGTTCTCGTAGAAAATAATTGCACGTAGATGGAAGATTGTAAAACCCTCTGTTTGCCTTTACAAACAGCTCCATAATATCACTTTCCAGATTTGTTCTCACATTTTCACTAAATTTCCTTAATTTGGCCGCAATCAAATTTCCAAAGTGTTGGCAATCATCTTGTATAGCCTGACTGCTTGTTTGAAGAATTTCAAAAGTTTTGTCGATGCGTTTATCTTCCATTGTAGTCTTTCTCTTGCCTAGAATTACAGAAGATGGTGGCGTTTGACTCGGAGCAATTTTTTTCGAAATATTTACAGTGTTAAAAGTCAGGCGGGTGGTGTTTTTGTCCAAGAGAAACTTTAAGCTGTCAAATGCAAACCATGTACTCTTGTAAACCTCGTCTGCACCTGTAAATAAAATATGATAACAAATTAATTATTGATTTGTGAAAAGTTATTAAAATATAGCGATAAATATATATAATATTACTTAGCTAAATAAACTTTCTTCATGAGTCATATAAAATTTATGAGGTCAACAAAATAAAATTTTTCTATTAATATTAAAATATTTTTTAAAAATATTGTTCATAGAGGATATCTCTCACACTGAGTGATGTGAATTAAAAAGATACGAATTGATATCGATTTCCCAGTCGAATGATTTATTTCATTCACGGAATAAACGTTCATTCATGGAATAAATTTTAATCATTAAATCATTTGACTGGAAAATCGAAACCGATTCCTACATTCTAAAACTGTTTTTTACAAAAAAAAAATTGCGTTTTTCAAGTACTTACTTTTTCCCATTCCCATGCTCTTTTTCATCTTCAGTTTCTCTCTTCTTAAAGCAGAAAGAAGATATACCATTTTCTTTTTGCAATGCTCGACCGATCTTCCAGTGTCACGCGCGATTTCCTCCCAAGCATCATTTTTCTTTAAGCGATTAAAATGATACGGATCCTTTGGATTCCAAAGAATGCTATTTTGTTTATAACAATTTATTAATTCCATCACTTTTTCTTGTGACCACTCCATTGCGACCAGACATGAAGCGACCGCTAGGCACGAAGCAATATGACTGAATAAAACGAGCCATGCTACGTCAGATCGAGGCAGAAGGCAGAACCTGCGTATCGCCTTGATACGAAGATACGATACGCAGACACGATACGGCACCCCGTCCACACTTGGCTGATCATGATACGCAATCATGATACGATACAGTGATACAACACAAATCTGGATGCGGTTTTATATTCAATTTAATATCTGACTGTTATAAGTAAAGTTATCCAAATGAATAGAAATATTTGATTTTTAAGAGATTTTATGTTTTTTGAAACAATTATATAAAAATAATATTGTATAAGATAATTCATAACTTATAAAGATTTATTATAATAATTTTTCAAGTACTTTTTAAATTATAATTAAATCTATTTTGATGTAAGGATCGTATGTTCGTATTTAAAAATTATTCCGAAAAATATTACGTAATATTTTGCTTTGTTTGAAAGAATGGGTAAGTGAAAGTATGAAATAACAGGTCATATAACAGAAGACGATAAGTGCAAGCCGTGAACCCGCATCCGCACTGCAGAGTACTGGGATTAATCAAGAGATGAGGCAAACGGATAAAAATTCTGGAAGTATCGAAAGGAAGGCAGAGATATAAATTAATAATAAATTCATGCAATTTCTTATCGTTAGCCGAATCGATTATGTCATCTGCCGCTCAATCCGTCGCAATTTAAACGTCATGGTTACTTTCGCGAGATCGACGGTATTCTACGATTGAATTTTATTAATAAGTTTCATAGACAGACAGACTAATAATTTTCTGATAAGCATTGTTTGTAAGCCACTTTCTTTGACTCCTTAAAAATAAAATAAAAACGGTAAAATTGAAAAAATTACTTAAAAATTAAAAGCCCGAACTATTGTATATATTAAATTAGCGTAAAAATTGCTTATTATTATTAGTATCTTATAAACCGATCTTTGGGAGAGGGATTTTTAAACAATATATTCTAAAATTATTTTAAATATATATACGCACTTGGTCGCATATGATGTCCCATTTCTTCTCATTGTCGTACTGCTTCAAAAGCTTCGCCTTGTCCGGTGGCAAATCCATAGAAGCCTGCAACACAAAAAGCGACATACCGTTTTAATATCCATCTGGTTACAAATTCTGTTTTCTCAATTTTACATACGCAGAGTGTAACGCAAAAAATCATGACTATTTGCGCAAGATAACTAAGCAGTGCGTAGTGTATGAAAAGAATTAATAAAAAACTAAACAATTAAAAAAAGATTTTAAATGAGAAATAAAATGTAGGTCTGTAATTGAGGAATTTTGTTTTAGATATTTTGGTTATTTAATCCTGTCCATCGCAATACTGGAAACAGCTTACGTCGATAGTTATCATCATCTTAATTATATACAATTAAGAAATTCTTAAAAGCACATCACACACAACATAGCAGAAAAAATACATTTTTTTAAATAAAGTAAAACAAATTTAAGTTTCAAAACTAACACTTTAAAAAAAATTCCTTGCATACTCTTTTCTTAAAGTCTGTTTAAATGTCTTCCTTTAAAATAAAAAGCAATATATTCGAAGATAAGAAAATAAGATATAATTAAACATATATGTATATATATACAGTATGTTAAAAAAAAGGTCAGATTTTTGAGGTAGATAGTATTCATCAGAATAAATATAAAACTTCTAATAAGCATAAGTTTATTTTTAAAATACGTAATGCTTTTATTGAACTCTGTATATATATGTGTATCATTGTAATTCGTTTATCAAATACCTCGTTTGTCAATAAATTTTTGCAAAAACCGACTACTATAGATTTTATTCACATTAATTTATTAAAAATTAACATTTAAATATTTATATAATAAATATAAAAACATTTTACTTTTTTAATAAACTTTTATTAAGTCTCAACAATCCAACAATTTGTAATTAATTATCATTGTTTGATTCACTAATGATGATGCGATTAAAATAGCGATTTATTTGTGAAGAAAATACGTAAGCTATTATGATCTAACGTAAAGCGGGTATGGTAAACGAATAATCATCAGAGAGCGGATGCCGGAAGCCACGATCGCATGACATCATCATACATACGCACACGCATACGAAAATCTTGTTAAATAGCTAAATCCTATGATAATATGACAAACATATTTTATATATGAATAGTATTAACTGCGAATTATATACTTCGAAACAAATTTTTGAGAACAATCTCATGAATGTACTGCAATAAAACACGTTATTATTGCAATATGATTAAATAAACAGATGATAGATAATTGCCACGAGTAATTTCATATGTAAAGGATATGCACATATCTAACTTTCTGCTATATGAGAAAGATATAAGATTGCGGAATCTTCGAATACATAATCGCGCGATCATCACCTTGCTCGACAAACTTTTGCCTGATCTCCTTGGAGAAAGCTAACACGCACGTTCTCCTTCGGTGACCAGGATGAGTTACTATTTCTAGCAACGTAACACGATTTCTGTTTCCGTTTTATGGCAATGGCTACCGTCGCGCTGCAATTCTGTCGCATTAGCATAATATTTGTTCTTGAATTATTTCTACTCAACTGGAGCGAATAATTCTCTCTTTCATTTCTCGGATGTGTAAGAAAAACACGGTAATGCAAGCTTTCTTCTGAGAAACTACGAAGAAATAAAAACGATTGAAACGACTATTAATTTTATTGCCAATAGCATAATATTTCCACTTTGCATTTGAAAAAATTTTTTTACACTTCTAAGCCATATCCAGTTAATTAAAATAAGAGCGATATATTTTACGCGCAAAAAAATAAAAAAAAGATCCTAAAAAAAATTATTTTTTAAATAATGTAAAATATATTTAAAAAAATACTCCTTTTTAAAATTGTATCGTATAAACATCTTAAACACTTTATACATACACAGCTTCTTCAGAGAAATGCTATAATCTTTCGATTATCGTAACATATATGATAAATCTTCTCTCTCAGAAAAGAATACGAAGTATAATGTATTTCCAATCTTTTCTATACTGCAAGTCATTCATGTTGTGCTAGCATTCTTGTTTAATCAAAATTCAAAAGCATTTGATTTTTAATTTTGTCCCATATATAAATATATTTAGAAGTAAATAATGTGTATGGTACACTTTATATTAATATTTAATATATTTTGGGGTCTTAATTATAATCCAAAAGTAATCACGCGTAATATTTCGTAAATTTAAATCTTAATAACTTGATAATATCTTAAAATTTAAGATACATCCATAAAAAATTATATTTTTTGTATGTAATTCTATTCATTAATAGAATCGCGAAATTTCTTTGTTATTAATAAGTGATTGGATATTACTCTTGTGTCTCTCTCATATTATTTAAAATTGTTTAGGTAATTATCATTCCTTTAACATAATTTAACGATTCGAAAAGTTGATAATTAAATTTTATAAATTAATAATAATTAATAATAATAATTATAATATTATAAGAGCCAGATTATAAAAGCGTATTATGTCAATAGTAAAAGAGCTTTAACATTTTCCCTATCAAGGAAATTCTTTGCTCTTTACAAACTAAAGAGCTTTCTATTGTATCTGACGCTTTTATAATCTGGCTCTTTACAAGTCCTGAAAGCAACGCGAAATGACTTAATAAATACTGTAAGACTACTTTAAGAGCACTTAAGAAAGCAAACAAGTGCTAAAAGCAAGTCATGCTAGTATGTATACAGAGAGTTATATAATCGATAATTCCGAATGACGTGACGAAAAGTGTTTTTAATAGTCAAGTTATCGACATCGACTTCGTGATGAAGTTCTACGTAAGATATATAAGATAAAGCATAAAGAAAATCTAAGCTGTATACTAAAATATTGATCTTCATAGCTCTTATTAACTTATTTCAAGCTATTATATATTTTCAAATATGCCTTATAAAAAGACTTCTACATAGATTGGCGATATATTGCCAAATGAATCGTCACTAGTTAGCAGCAAATTAGTCTCATAAATAACGAAACTGGCATTACAAAAAATTCTTGAATTACGTTTGTGTCTCATATAATGTTACATTATATTTTACCAATGTAATGGAATATCATGTAACTATTTATTTATCATGATTCATTGCATCGTCGCAATCACCTTGTTTATCGAAGGAATGTACCCATCTGATGTTTATCGGTCTTGAATTTAGGAGATCAGTTTGAAAAAATTATTGAGTTTTTTCTTAGAAAATATATATTAATAGAATTATATATATATATATATATATATCATATCATATCATATCATATCATATCGTATCGTATCATATGTATACGTAAAATAATCAACTTCTGTATTTCGCTAAAAACATAAGCATTTGCTGACAGTTTTATAAAGCTTGATCACATAGAATATATTTGTAAGGTAACAAGATAAAAAAAAAAAGAATTAAATTATAAGCATATTTCAGGTAACATGACAATATCTTACACATACTAATAAGAATTTTATTAAATAAAAGATAAAAATAATTAATTTTTAAATACGTTCTTGTAGATGCCGTGCCTCACTGCGGTGTAAACGAGGTATTCAACAGCTGTGGTTCGTCGTGCCCAAGCACTTGCCAAAATCCAGTTCCCCCTGTCTGTACATTGGT